GCTCTGGTTCTCATGGGAAACTTCAGTCACCCTGATACCTGCTGGAAAAGCAACATTGCCAGGGATGCATAGTACAGGAGGTTCCAGTAGTATGTGGAAAATAGCTTCATAATAAAAGTAGTGGAAGAACCAGCGAGGAGAGGTGTGCTACTGGAACTTGTTCTTACAAACAAGGAAAGATTGGTTGGGAACATGAAGGCTGTGGGCAACCTCACATTTAGCGACCATGAGATAGTTTTGTTCAGGATCTTAAGTGGAAGAAAGAAGGCAATTAAGTGGGATTGCAGCCCTGGACGTCAGGAGTGCCATCTCTGACCACTTCAGTGGCCTACTTGGAGGTATCCCATGGGCTAGAGCACTGGAAGGTAAGGGGACCTAGGAGAATTGGTTGACATTCAAGCAGCACTTCTTCCACCCTCAAGATTGGCGTATCCCTAAGAAATCCTACAAAAGTTGCTGGAGAGCTATGTGGATGAGCAGTGAACTCATGGAAAAACTCAAATGGAAGAAGAAAGTCTATGGAATGAAGAAAAGGGGTCTAGCCATTTGGAATGTAGGAATATTGCCAGGGCTTGCAGGGATGCCACAAGGAGGGCTATGGCCCACTTGGAATTATATCTAATGAGCAAAACCAAGGACAAGAGAGCCTTTTTTATGTCAGTAGCAAAAGGAAGACCAGGAAAAATGTGGGCCCACTGCTTATTGAGGTGGGTGCACTGAGAATGGAGAAGGCAGAGCTACTCAATGCTTTCTTTGCTTTACTGCTAAGACTGCTTCTTGAGAATTCCAGACCCTTGTCACCATAGAAGAGTCTGGAGAAAGGAAGTCTTTACCTTGGTTAAGGAGTATCTGATCAGAGATGATCTAGGCAAACTTGAAACACAGTTCAGTCGACCCTAATGGGATGCAGTCATTAGTGCTGAGTGTGCTAAGCCATTACACATAATCTGTGAAAAGTCATAAAGAATGGGAGAGGTGCCTCAGAAGTGGAGGACAGCTAGTGTCACTCCATTTTCCAAAAGGACGAGAAAGAGAACCTGGGAAACTACAGGCTAATCAGCCTGATTTCTTCACAGCTTATTGGTAATGATACAGCTTATTCTGGATGTAATCTCCAAGCAAGTGGAAGAAGAGAAGATGACCAGGAGTAGTTAATATTCACCAAGCAGAAATCGTGTTTGACCAACCTGGTAACTTTCTACAACGTCATCACCAGATCACCAGGTTAGGTGAGGGTAGAGCAGTGGATGTTGTGTACCTCAATTTCAGCAAGATTTTTGATGCTGTCTCTCACAACATCCCTGTAGATAAGTTTAGGAAGTGTGGTATAGATGAGTGGGCAGTGAGGTGGATTGAGAACTATCTGCCTGGCAGAGCTCAAAGGGTTGTGATCAGTGGTATAGGGTCTAGTTGGAAGCCTGCAGCTAGCATGTTCCTCAGGGATTGGTACTGAATGTGTTCTTGTTCAACATTTTCATTAGTGGCTGGGGCAAAGAGATAGAGTCTGCTCTCAGTAACTTTGTTGATGATACAAATCAGGGATCTGTCAGGGAGCTGACAGATCAGAGGGCTGTGTTACCATCCTGCAAGACTGAGCAGACTAGTGAGTTGAGTGGGGAGGAGCCTGATGAGGTTCAACAAGAGCAAATGTAGAGTTTTGCACCTGTGGAGGAATAACTGCACCAGTACAGGCTAGGGACTGACCTACTGGAATAAATCAGAGAAGGACTTGAGTGTCCTGGTGAACAACAGTTTGGCCATGAGCCAGCAGTATGCCCTTGTGGCCAAGAAAGACTATGGTATTATTAAAAAGCGTGTGGTTGTCAGGTTGAGAAAGGTGACACTCCACATCTGCTTTGCCCTGGGGAGGCCACATGTGGAGTACTGTGTCCATTTCTGGGCACTCCCCAGAACAAGAAAGAAGGGGAGCCATTGGAGAGAGTTCAGCAGAGGGTTACAGAGATGATTAAGGAGCATCCTCTGTATGAGAAAAGGCTGAGAAATCTGGGACTCTTTAGTCTGGAGAAGGCTGAGAAAGGGATCTTATCAACACTTAAAATATCTGAAGGGCAGGAGTCAGAACATGGGGACTATCTCTCTTCGGTGATGCCCAGCAGTAGGACAAAGTACAACAGGCACAGACTAGAATATGAGAAGTTCAATATGAATATGAGAAGACTTATTTACTGTGGGGATGACAGAACATGTAACAGATTGTCCATAGAGGTTGTGGAGTCTCTGTCTCTGGAGGTATTCAAAACTTACATGGATGATTTCCTGAGTAACCTACTTTGGAGAACCTGCTTGCGGGGTCTGTGATCTTCAGAGGTCCTTTCCAACCCCTACCAGTCTGTGATTTTTACAGCTATTTATCACCTTTTTTGCTGACTAGTTTATGTAGGGGTACATGCTTGTATCAGTCCCCAGTTGACTCCATTCCTGACCAGTCCTATTCTAATTTTTGAGGGTGTGTGACCGAATACATTACCTGAACAGTTCGACTGCTTTGAAACTGCTCCCAGTCCTGCTTTCTTCTTATGCTTAACCACTGAAGTAACATGAAACATTTGAAGAAATGAGTTCTGGAGCCCACGGAGAGGCTAATCAGCTGTTCTTCCATTCTTTCATGTCCTCTGTAATGAGTCCCTCTACCTCTGTTGTTCCCTTCGCTGCACCTGATGGACTTGCTTATATGTCTTGACCTCCAAACAATCAGAACATTTAGCTCTTGGGTGTGATAGGCTTCTGAGTCTCAAAGATGTCCCATTTTTAGTGACAGCTTGAAGGACCATTTTAAGGCCTGTTCCCTGTCCAGTAGGCAGGACAGCAGATAGTATTTTATCCTTGTCTGTTCCATCTTCAGTTGTCTTATAAAGAATTCCTGCTTATTAGCTGCCCTAGAGGTGCTGACTTTGAGAGCCCTCCCAGCAATAGCGCTGGCTAGAATCCCTACTGGTCACAACTGCTGTAGTTGCTTGCATAAGGGTGCAAGTACATTCCCACAGGACAGGATCTGTATAGGACAATGTGCTCCCATGGACCAAAAGAAGATAGTGCATTCCAAAAAATTGTAAGCTGACAAGGAGAAATCCACTTTATCCTTGTCTGAGATCCCAGAATTCACAAGCCTGAGTGCTAGTGCCCTACAGAAGATTTTAGTCTAGATTAGGCAGTATGAAGTACACAGAGACTTGTGTTGAGAGAATGTACTCCTGAAATGGCCAGATATAAGAAGTATTTGTCACAGTGGTCTGGCCTTGCCACCAGCTAGTCAAAACAGGAGAGGAAAGGTGGGTACAGTCAAAATTATCAGGATTTCCTATATTTTTTTAACTTGGGACAGGGCTTCAGCAGAACTCTGCACAAAGAAGTTCTATTGCTTTGACCAACAGGTTTATCGCATCTCTCTCTGTTCTGGAGTAGGAACACATGTATTGATAGGCTAGAAGATGGAAGAACTGGTGTTCTCTTGCAGGAATCTGGTTTTCCAATAGAAGTTTTATTCCCCTTACTAATCAGAAGATTTTGCCAGCCAACATCATGATTACATATAGTGCACCACTACCTACATCTCTACAACTGAATCAAATACTTAGGACCTTTCTGTTGCTCTCTGGCTGAATGTGTAGCACTCATATCCATACTGCTGATAGATTTCACCTGTGCCTCTGGATTTGTTTTCCTTGTTATTATAACCGTCCATTGCCTAGATATTGCTTCAGACTAAATTCCATAGGAAACCATTTCAGCAAGGGTTGGGATGTCATAGATGATCGCTGTACCTGCAGTGTCTTGGAGGATGTTTCTTTGGATGGTCATTTGCAGACCATGATTGCAGCATGTCCCAGAAGGAGACTGATACATGCCTTGCTACTCCTTGTCTGATGCACGACTGTGTACATGTGCACATTTGGAAGTTCTGCTTTGGGTTACGTAGTTTGCCATCTGTGCAGATCATTTGGGTCCAGTGAAATGCTGCAGATTTTCACTTTTCCTCTCAAGTAGCTATCATTGCACTGAAGCATTAATGACCTTTTTTTGTCAGATGCTGGATTTAGGAGAGACATTGCTACCATATCCTTCAGTTACCAACTTTTCAGCCTACTTGGTGCACCTTTGTCAGTCAACTGGAAAGAAACGTGCAGGGACTTCAAAAGAGACTGGGCTGTACTGTAATCTGACACTAGCCATGATTCCTCCAGATGCACTATCCACCTAGATCCAGTGACCGATTGTTCTCTGAAAACAACATGGACATCCTTTGTTTTTTATGTTAACTTATCCTTTTTGCTCTTGGCTGACAAGCAAGGAGGCGTTCACTATCTGGGCAGTGCTTGTGACTTGCTGAAATAGATCGCCTTGTTATTCCCAAGGGCTGTGTTGAGTACACTGTACTAATAAGTAACGTTTTGAGCAGCATTCTGTTTCTAAGATACAGATAAGACAATTCACCTGCTGTAGTTTTTATTTTTAATTTAATGCTTTTATGCTAGTCTATAGAGGAAATTGAAGAAAAGAAAGTAGAGCCTGTGTATCATGTGTGAAGTTAAGGAATAAGTCCTGGTGATCTCTAGTAATCTAATGTTTCTCATTTACAAGTGAATACTTGAAGAAATCAAAGGTTTTTCAGGAGAACGTTGCAGGCAACTGTTTTCTATTATAGCACTCAGATAAGTGGAAATAAAAATAAGTGAAGCTGTAGGACATAGAGCACTTTAGAAAGCCTGTCTTTTGGAAATATAAAAGGCAATCTTGGCCATTCTTTAAAATTCAGCTCCTACAGCTGTAGGCTGTTCTGGTGAAGTCGATTAACTTTGCTTATAATGATGTTGATGCTTTGCTTACAATTTGTCTATGTTATAGTGTACATCTGGGTTTCTCTTACATAAGGTTCCCTATGAAGAAAGGGGTAAGTGTTGACAAGGAGCATGCAAGATTTACTAAAATGAAACCTTGCTGGTCAGTTGCTCATTCATTCTCGTATTTCATTACTCATTAAGGGATGAAGAAGAGAAAAAAAAACCTCATTCAGATGGTACAGATGAAAAAGATAATGGGAACCAGACGAAGGCTGTAAGTCGGATTGGAAACTCTAATAACCCATTCCTGGACATCCCTCATGACCCCAATGCTGCTGTGTATAAAACTGGATTTCTGGCTCGGAAAATCCATGCAGACATGGATGGAAAGAAAAGTAAGTATCCTTCACATGTAACATCATAACTCTCTTCCCTGTATAACATCGTATCTCTTCCTTGTAATCTCTGCACTGTACCACTTAGGATGAGACTGTTTGCTTTTCAAGGTGAATAGTGCTGCTTCATTAAGGAAAATTGCAGCAATAACAAACAACCCAGCAATTGGATTATCACACTCTCACTATCAGGCCAGGATTTACAATGTTCAGTTCCATTTGCATCAGCTCTAATGCGTGTGCCTATTGAGTAATGTGGTACAGCAAAGCAGCATGAATCTTTTGTGCTCAACGAAAATAGATCTCATGGTTTATAGAAGAGAAAACAATTTCAAGTGAATTAGAGCTATTCAGTATTGTTTTGATAATTCTCCTTTTCCTCATGTGGTACCATGTTGTTTCAAATCTCCCCTCTCCTCTACTTCAGCCTTTAAAAAAATGTTGTTCATCTCTGCTTGGAAGATCCTCTAAATGTTCCCTCCTTTCCTGCTCTTGAGTTACAATTCTGTCAAGTCTAGCAGTGTTTGGTAACATCAAGAATTATGCCATGCAGTTTCATAAATAGTCTTTGTAAATATTCTTTGTAATAAGCCTGCTGTGTTTCTTATTTACTTTTAATTAACCTTTTTCTTTCTTGTCCTACTTCCATTCTTGGAGCACTAATTATCACAGGTGTTTGATTTGCCTGCATGCATTTTGTTGTTTGGTTATCTTCAGTTGCTTGTTTTCTAGTAAGAGTCTTAGAAACAGCAGAGGCTACTCAGGACACCTGCATTTTTCCCATTTATTGTTGAAGATCAGTACTAATGGTTCATAGTTGTGGGGTGAATCGTGAAGAGAAAAGAGAATCCTGACTTTGTGATTAGTTTTCAGCAACTGCAACTCTATCTAGTTAAGCTAAATGGTTTTGCACTTGCATGTTGTGCTAGTGTATTTTAGAAGGTACGTTTGAAGGACTGTGTTTTCAACCTGGAGGCTAGTACAGCTAGTACAGCTGAATTCAAGTGGTGGTGATGTGATCAAACTGACCTCATTCTTTGTGATGAGTGGATGTTGTGAGTAGGTTCTTCTTTATTAAATTTGTTTATTTAACCTTAATAAATAATTGTGTATGGTTGCCATGATTAATTTGTTTAATTACAAATATTCAGAATCACTCATTATTCAGCTCATTGAATGTTGGCATTTTTGAGATAATCCTTTCATGAATAAAAGCCAGTTGTAGAGAGGAAGGCCTGGGAAATTACAGACCTGTAAGCCTTACCCTTGGGCCTGAGAAGATCACAGAACAGATCTAGAAGCTGTGTTAAGGCACATGCAAGATGAACAGGTGGTCTTCGACAGCCAGCACTGCTTCACCAGTAGCAGATTATATCTGACCAATCTGGTATCCTTCTGTGATAGAAAAATAGCATCAGTGGACTAAGAAAGGGCAACAGATATTATCTACCTGGACTTCTACAAAGCCTTTGACATGATCCCACATCACATCTTTATCTCTAAATTGGAGAGAGAAGGATTTGAAGAGTGGATAGAGAATTGGTTGGATGATTGCAGCCAGAGGGTTGTGGTTAACAGATGTCCACGTGGAGGCCAGTCATGAGTGATGTCCTCAAGGGTCAGTCTTGGAACTGGTGCTCTTCGACATCGTTATCAATGATGCAGACAGTGGGATCAAGTGCACCCTCAGCATGTTTGCAGAAAACGCTAATCTGAGTGGTGCTGTTGGTAATACACTGGGAAGGAGTGCCATCCACAGAGACCTCTGCAGGCTTGAAAGGTAGGCCCATGTGAAACAAATGATGTTCAACAAGGCCAGGTGCAAGGTGCTGCCCTTGGGTTGGGGCAGTCCCAGATCTGTGTACAGACTGGAAGAAGAATTCACAATGAAGAGCCCTGCGGAGAAAGACTTGAGAGTTTTGGTAATGGAGAAACTGTACATGAGTCAGCAGTGTGCACTACTTGCAGCCTGGAAGGCTGAAAGTTTCCTGGGCTGCATCAGCAGAGGGGTAGAAGCAGAGAGGGGGAGGGAGTTGTCCCTCTCTGTTCTGCCCTCGTGAGGCCCCATCTGCAGTACAGTGTCCAGGCCTGGGGTACCCAGCACAAGAAGGGTGGGGATCTGTTGGAGCAGGTCCAGAAGAGGGCTGCAAAGATGAACAGAGGGCTGGAGCACCTCTCCTGTGAAGAAAGGCGGAGGGAACTGGGCTTTTTCAGACTGCAGAAGAGAAGGTTCCACAGTGCTCTTCCACAATGCTCTTACTCATCCACAATGTTCTTGTGGCATTCAAGTACCTAAAGGGAGCTTATAAGCAGGAGTGGGAGTGACTTTTTACATGGCCTAATAGTGATAGGATGAGAATGGCTTTAAATTAAAAGGGGAGATTTAGGTTGGATGTTAGGAAAAAACTCATTACGCAGGGGGTGGTGAGGCCCTGGCACAGCTGCCCAGAGAAGCTGTGGTGCCCCATCCCTGAAGGTGTTCAAGGCCAGGTTGGATGGGGCCCTGGGCAGCTGAGCTGGTGTGGGCAGCCCTGCCCACAGCATGGGGTTGGGGTTTGGTGGGCTTTAAGGTCCCTTCCAAACCAACCTATTCTGTGATATAGTTTTATGAAAACGTGAGGAATCTGCCCAACCAGGACGCCTGCAACAGCAGCTTTTGTCTTTATAAGTATCCTAACACACTGTTGTAATTCAGGAGAGCTTAATTTATGTAAAGATTTCTAAAGTGAAATTCTATTTGTTGCATAATACGAGTAGGAATAATGTCCACTGTGTGAGATGCGAGTGATTAACTTCTGGAGCAAATGAGTAACAACTTTTTCACTGCCACTTGCTCAGATCAGAATGGGATTCCTTTTTCAGGGTGCTCTAGTCATGTACAAGCTATTAGTTGCAGTATTTAATATATATGCAAATGGATGTTGGTCACTGGTGTGTACTTGGTGGAGAGTGAACTTCAACGCATGCTTCTGGTCTCTGTCTCTGTGACTGTACAGCACATGCCTTCTTTCCCTGTACCACAGCTTTCATACTTTTTCTCCCTACAACACTCTTTTTTTTTTTTTTTTTCCTCTTTTTCTTGTCCCTATGAATTTATAGGTTGGATGTGTTGCTTTTGTGATGCTCTTCAGTGTTACTTCAGATTTCTTGAGAGGTGATTTTTGATTTGGCTCCTTTCTGCTTCCCCTTTGGCTTTCCCAACAGCTGTGGAAAGAAGGGATAGAATGAAGCAGGTATCTGACCACTCAATGCCCACTTGGGTGAACAGCAGTTGCAAGAAGGAAGGATGCTCTTGGGAGGCATTGCTTTTTGGGCAGTGTCGCACTGATTCTGAGCAGTGGCTGCGACCTGCTTTGACATGGAGAAAGGGTGTTTCCTACTAAAAACATCACCACTGTACAAACCTCAGACCTAACAGTACAGGAGCAGTGTCAGTGCCAGAGCAGAAAGACCAGATCTCTCAGGCCTGCTTTCTGCGTTGCTCCTATTCCCTTCTGATCCAGTCTAGTGCTGTCTTCAGGGTTGTTTTACTCTACCTTACAGCAGGTATTTTCAGGCACTGTGCAGGCTGAGTTGCATTGTCCTTTGAAAACGAGAGTACAAAGGAGGTTTTACACAGGACTAATGTAACTCTCCTGTTGCCTAGACAAAGTGTAAAAATGGATCTGAGTTAAATGGGTTTTCATTTGTTTTCTTTGCAGCTCCCTGGGGAAAGCGAGGCTGGAAAACCTTTTATGCTGTGCTGAAGGGAACAGTCTTGTACTTGCAAAAGGTAGGAGAAATCACTATCTTTTGGAAACTTATTGAAGGGGGATAAAGCAGCAGGCATCCTCTCCACTCTCACAGCCCATCTCCAGGTTCCTTTCCCTCTGACCAGCAGTGTATCTGCTCTCTTTGTGCCCCATCCTGTTTACATGCACACTGAGATGTGAATTCTTTTATTACCGTGCTCCTCCATTTTTCAGTTTCAAATTCAGTCTCATTGTCACTATCCAGATGTGCACCTTGTCAATTCCAGTTTATGCCATCACTGTCACTCATGACTGACAAAATAGCTAGCTTCACAAGCTAAGACAGCATCGTCTCTCCGTGTCTTGCACAGATTCCTCCGGGCTGCTTTTAACACTGCAGTTGATATGTATGACTTCACCTCCTATGAGGCTGTCCTCCTTTCCAGTCTTTTCACAGTACACTTTCCTGCAGTGACTGCAAGAGCAGCTGCAAAACTGTTTAACAGCAGCTTGATCTTGGTAGGAATCTGCAGCTTATGCTCCATAGCAGAATTGGAGGATACCATTTTTTTTCCAAAGCAGGATAAAACACTTATTTCTAAAAAAATTTTACTCTCTGCCAGCAAGAAGTCTAAAAAAAACGTCAGCTTCAAACCCTTCAAGTCTTTTGGCGCAAGCTTGATTGTAATACAGCTTTAACTATAAGCTTTTTTAAACTGAAACTTCTCTTGGAAAGTGAGATGGAATATATGAGCAAGAACTGAGAGAATCAAATTTTGTCAGTTTGTAGATTTTGAAGCCTTTGTGTCTCCTGCCTAAGTGTAATGTTCTTGATATAGGTGAGTTCTGTCCAGGTTGCTCTGCATTGTAGAAATATGCTCTGCTGAAAGTGTTTCTGCATTTCCACTGTGTTTTGCAGCTGTAAAGAGTGCAAGTGCATACTGTTATTTCCTCCTTCTTTTTTCTGGGTTTCTGATGTTATTGTTTTCTTCAGAAGCAGCATGGTGTATTGGATCCGTGATAAATTGGATCCATTTCTTACAGCACAGGGTTGATGAGGTGGCTGGTCTGTGCTCAATGCCTGTTTGACAGGGCTGAAGTGCCGAAGCAGACCGAAAATCTGGAGGCAGGAGGAAAGGTTTGGGCTGACAGTTGTGTGTTACATGCTCCAAAGCCAGTGTGAGAGACTAGAACCAAATGTCTTGAACTGCAGCTAAGCCTTCCCTCTGGTTCTTTTCCTGGCAGCAGCTTCAGATTTTATTAAAATGGTCTATATGGCAGGCTTGCATTTTCACTTTCTTGAGTGAATTGCAGTCAGCTGCTTTGATTTCTGAAATGAGTCATGTTTAGCATTTATCTGAAAAGACTGGATGGTTCCCTAAGAAGTAAGAAGGTTCTTGTCCATAGCATATGAATTAATTTTTTATTTGATCCTTGAGGGGGATTTAATAAGCTTTCAAGGGGAAGAAGTGGAGGTGCTGTCCATTTTAGAGTCTTAATTAAAAACTTCTGTAAGTGTCACTGTAATATTAGTTAAAAACACTTAGACAAAATTTACAGATGTTGATGTATCATGCAGATTTTCTGCAGAAGGTTGCTCTCCCCACTGTCACCTTCCATCTCTTGGTAAGCATGAGAGTGATTTCACATCTGGCTACACTTTTGCAGAACAAATACATTGGTGGCGTTCTTGCTCTCATTTGTTTTTCAGTTGTGCATCTTGCATTTGTCATGGCACTTGAATTCAGTGATTACAAGATGGTTACTCTGCAAAGTAGCGCTCTCCCACATAGCCCTGAATCCACTTTCACTGAAGCTGTAGCAAGGGACAAGCTAGACTTTTAATTCAGCGCTAGAAAGGTTGACAGAGAGGTCTGATGGGAAGTGACTCACTCCCTGAGTGATGGGGCAGCTGTGAGCCTCCCGAGGGTGCCTGTGACCCCTGCTCAGCAGCAGTGCCTCATGCAGCATCAGTGAAACATCCTCTGATTTCTCTTCAGCTCCAGAAGGTCCAGCAGGGCTTTGCTCCAGCCCTGAAATAAATCTTGCATTGTTGGGAATATGCTATTGTGGAAGTTGGCAATGGTAGGGTTTTAAAATATATGGCTAGACCAAGTTTAGAGATAGTAAGTGCTGATGAATTATTGTTTCCTTCTGCAATATACTGGGAGACAGAAATTATCCCAATTTCATGAAGTTGAGGAGGATTTTAGAGCAGCTTGATTTCTGTGTAGAAATGAAGAACTATGGTGGTAGTTACGAGCAAGGGATTTCCTTCTCTCTGTTTCCCTTCTCTCCTAATTATGCAGTGCTGCAGGGCAGGATGCATACCCATATGCATTTACAAGATTTCCCTCTGTCTCTCATTATCTGTATATTTGTGGAGGAAAAAGCTGTGATGATAGTTTCATTGCACTGAGTGCTATTCAAGCAGAGAGAGAGAAATCTCACTTGTGTATGCCCACAAATAAATGTATAGGCCTATGCACTTTTTACTTTCTGTGCTCATCTGTAACTCAGCTGTTCCTTCAAGACATTGCTCTAATATAAATATTAATAGTTTGTAACAGCTGTGATTCTCCCAGTGGGTAGCGTGATCCCGATTCTCTTCCCATTCTCTTTGCATAGCAGACTAATTCTTCTTATTTTGCTGTAAAGTCTATAGATGAGAGTGGTTCCTAAACAGCGGTCATTTGAGATTTACAGGGAGGTTTATCTGGGCAATCTTGTCTCAGTGCCCTTTCCTTTTTTTTTTTTTTTTTTTGTTTCATTGGAACAGCTCCAGTGCTAATTACTGTGCTGCATATTGTTTTATTTTTAATGAGTAATTTGTGAGAGAGAGAGTTTCTGAATTAGCGAGCACAGAGGCCACTGGAGGGGCTCAGTGGAAGCATTCACAATTAGCCAACTAAACATGTCTGCACAATATTATATAAAATTAGAGGTTTGACATGTTTGGGCTGTTGGCCCTGACTCTGGACATCCTCAAGCCAAGGCTAATTTCCTGCCTTCAGTTTATAGCAAGAGGAAATCGCAAAGTAGGAGCTTGACAGAATGTCTCTTCACTGGACTGACATGGGATGTGATGTGTGTATAGAAAAGGGGCTTATAAGGAGAGGACAGAAGGCTGCCCTCGCTTCCTTGCTAGAAATTGCGTATGAGCAGCTGTGCAGGACGTGGGCCTTGTGTTTTGACTCTGCTCTGAGGTTTGCAAAATCTTCACTCTTTGATGTGATACTTTATAATCTTGTGGGATTTCAGCTATTTTTGTGTAGTTATTATCAAATATGTTTCCTTTGTCAAAACTTACAAAAAAAAAGGGAAAGTCTATAAACGGTATAAAGTGATCAGACACAAAACTTTCTGAAAGGATTTTGCATCCATTATGTGAGTTGACCAGAGGTGTCCACTCACGAATACCTTGGCTGATAAAAAGCCAACTGCTGTAGTTGGGTGTGTCAGAAAAGGATGCAGGAATGTGTGTCCATCTAGAAACTGGGTCAGCAGAATGTAGAAAAGTCATTTGTTAGGAGTCTGAGAAAGATGAATTCAGCATGTAATTACATTGTGTGCAACATTCACAGCAGATTTCAGTTGATATTGAGGTCACATTTCCTTTCTGGTTCCTTATGTATTTCTTGCCACTGATTTGGTCTAACTTTAGTGAGCTGCCTTTCATTCCTGCTCCACCTCCACACTGATGCTCGCACATGTGCTGTCCTTGGTGGCATATGAAATATGGATGTTCCTTTGCCCCTAGCATTGCTTGCCAGTTAAGAAGAGTTAAAGGTCTTAAAGGAAGAATTCTGACAGCACATTCACATCCCTTCAGTTTTCTCTTAGGCTGGCCAACTACTGGTAGACATTTGTGGTATGCTGATGACTGCTTTTGGAGAAGCTGGAAGGGACCCATCTGTCAAGGTAGAGTGCAACCATCTGATCCAGTGGGATTAGCAAGGATCATAATGAAATCTCTCTGTCAGTAAGGAGGGGCTCTGAGTCAGTGCCACTTTTGGGACTGCCCAAATGTGGAGTTGTTCTGGAACAGATTTAGACACCAGTGAGTTGTGGCCATTGGATTCATCTTAGAGAAAGCTGAGAGGAACCAAGCATGGTGGTAGCTGGCACTGTCTCGAAGCAGTAATTTGAGGAAAGCCAGAATATCATGCTCTGAGGTCTAAGTTCATTTCCTGGCTTTGATTTTTTTCTCATTCCCTGGATAGTGGAGCCAGTCATTTCCTCCAGAGCAACCACTAAAGAAATCAACTTTTCTACTTTTGAAGGAGGAGGCTTGCTTCCTTCATCATCAAGATAGAGCTGGGCGAGGTGTTGGCCAGCCTTCTCTAGTTCTTACCCTTTAGCTAGACACCTTCACAAATTTGCCTTGAAGAAGGGGTAGAGAGTGTCCTCAATGGGAGTAGGCAGAGTGTCTCATGATAGGAAGGTCCATCCAGTACTTGCTGGGACTTGGCAGGACCTATAGCCAGGAGGGCAAAGGAGCATTTGCCTTAGCTCTCTGTCAGGCATTGAAAACTCCTTTTGTCACAGGTGATTAGCTGAAGACTACCCTTTGGACATAAGCGCAACAGTTCTCTGCCTTTCAGCTCTGTGCTCTTGCCTTGATACCGTTGGAGCTGTTGATTGTGATGGTGTTGCTGGTTAGCTGCTTCTTCCCTGGCTTACTGCTGAAGTGTCTAACCGGCAGCAGGTTCTAGGCCTAAACTAGCTGGACTAGCCTGGAAACTGGCAGAGTAGTGGGATGTTTTGCCCTCCCTTCTGGGATATGGTCACCACAGGTGGTGACTGTCTTTCCCTGAAACTCATCCTGGGGAGCCCCAGACAAACCCAGCCTCACTGATAAGAGCACAGATGACCTCAGCAGTTGAAGCTCCTGTCTGTATACCAGCAGATAAACCATGTAAATTAATCCATTAATTCAAAACGTGCATCTTAAGCAGCTTTTCTCCAAGAGAAGTACCTTGCTGGGTGTTTAAGCTAATGCTGTCCCTTCTGTATGATTTGTGTCCTGTACTCTGTTGTCCACTAAACTCCACCTCATAACTCTTGTGTTCAAGTGAAGGGATCAATAGTTATGACACCTGCAGGGAATTACTTTTTTGTTTTGCGGCCATCATACTAGGTTGCTTCAGATGACACTGATTTCTGGTGAAGTCGTAGTCATTTCAAAGGAAAGATGTAGAATCAGTTGCTGGCTGCTTTCCTTGAGAAACATTGTACAAGATTGCTCATGATTAACTTTTCCTTAAAAAGCTTCTGGCTTGTCTTATATTCGGGAAGCCATTTGTAGTGGAGTGTGCTTTAAATTGAACTTCTGGCAACGCAATTATTGTGCACTTGCCCAGCTCCTGTTGCTCAGGAGATCAAACACTGCTCCCAGCAGACAGCTGCAACACAGAGAAGTTTGACTCACTGTTTTTATTATTTTCTGGGAGTGGTACCGTGTTGCAAACCTGAACAATCCTGTGCTTGCCATTTGCAGATCCTGCTCAGAGAAGGTATTCCCTCCTGTGGGTCATACAGATCTATGCTTCCAAAGCAATAATGTGGTGTAATGTGGTGTAACTAGAACCTGGCCTGTTAATCCCAGGGATTTTTATTTATTTACTTATTTTTCCTTTATTAAAGACTAAAGATAGATATGGATTGTAGAAAATGTGCAAAGGAACTGTGTGATGGTGCTGGATTCATAAGGCTGTTAGTGTGTTGGCAGACCAGCCATTTCTAAGTTTTCTCTCTAGCATCATAGCAAAAGAGAGATTTAAAGAATGTTGCTGTATTTGCTTTGTGGAGACTGGTAGGGTGACTTCTACACTGTTAAGGACAAGTAGAGCTGTGGAAATTGAGAACTCCAGCAGCAATAAGCAGTTGAGTAGTGGAGATGGAGAGCTGGCCGTGAAGGATTCCTGAAGTGAGGACAAATAGTCCACTGCTGATTCGGAACTACTTCTCTTCCTTTTGGAGAGACCACGTACTTTAATAATGCTTTTCATCACTATGCAACAAGGTTTTTCTTTAGATTAAGGGAAAAGGAGTAGCACGTGGAGAAATAAGATGTCATTTTCCCTTGCTAATTTCTGTAGGATGAGTACAAGCCAGAAAAGGCTTTGTCGGAGGAAGATCTGAAGAATGCAGTTAGTGTGCATCATGCACTGGCATCCAAGGCAACAGACTATGAGAAGAAACCCAATGTCCTCAAGCTTAAAACAGCAGATTGGAGTGTCCTGCTTTTTCAAGCCCAGTAAGTGCTCTCTTCTGATTAGTGCCAGTAGTTGAGGGAAGAAGGCATTTCTAAAGGAGGGTTAAATTCATGCTTGGACAGGTTAAAGCAGAGGCTTAAAAGGTTCGATCTGTTTATATGATTAGAAATAAGATTAAGTAGTGATATGATTAGAGTGCACAAGTAGTTCATGAGAAAGAAATATCAGGTTTTAAGAGGCTTTTTAATCTAGCTGAGAAAGGCATAACAAGATGCAGCAGCTGGAAGCTGAAGCTGCAGGAAATTCAATTTGGAAACAAGGCACAAACTTTGAACAGTCAGAGTGATTAATCATTTTAACAGATGACCGAAGGCAGTCTTGGATTCTGTCTCCTGATGTCATCAGGACTTAGCCGGATATCTTTCTAGAAGATACACTTCAGTTAGAAACAAAGTTAGTACTTAATACAAGAATAATTTGATTAAGCTCTTCAGGCTGTGATATGCAGACAGAACAGATGACCTTCTTTTGGTTTCTGGCATTGAAAACTGATGCACAGGTTTTTTGCATTAGCCCTTATCTACCAAGATCCATATAGAACCTCCTAAAGATCTTAGGAGATCTTATCTGCAGAACAGATGAAACTTAAGACAAATGTCTGAATCAGGGCGTTGACTGCCTCTGCTCCTTGTTGCACTTGGTTTGGAATAGGAAAAGATGCATGCTGGGGTGAGTTATGGACTTACTCATGAGCTAACCTGTGAATGAGGCACCTAAACTAACCGCTCTCAAAAGACAGAAGACTCAGCAGACTCTAAAACCTGTTCAACTCTTCTTACTCTCACTTTGAAAGTGCCAGTGGAAGGGTAGGAAAGAGGGAGAGGAGGCTGAGTCAACAAGTGCTTGATATGTGTTTTTTCCTCCAGGAGCCAAGAAGAAATGCAGACCTGGATCAACAAGATTAACTGTGTGGCAGCTGTCTTCTCTGCACCACCATTTCCAGCAGCAATTGGTTCCCAGAAGAAGTTCAGTCGGCCACCCCTGCCAGCCACCACAACAAAGCTATCTCAGGTGAGTTGTTGTCTAGAGTGTTGGTAATGAAGATTGTTCTTGACTGGTGGGAGTCTGGGAAGTGGTCCCTAACTTTGTTTTGCTCCTGTCAACACTAGTATTTCTAGGAAAAATAGAACATCTGCTAGGAAGGTAGATCTGTTTGTTTCCTGATTCAAGATTCTAAGTAGAGAGAACGAAGAATTAAGTTGGCCCAAAGAGGACATTGAATAAGCGTTTTGCTCCCCACTCCAAAGGGAAAATCAGAAAAGGCTACTGAGTGCTGCTCTGTTATTCCCTTTGTCTAAGCTTAGAGGGACAGTTTGAGATATGGTGCTATCTGGAGCCTTTCAGCAAACAGGGAAGTCATGGTTCAAACATGACCTGCGGTTGTTTGACCTCATAGTTGTTTGAATCTCCATCTCTAGAGACAGTCAAGGTCAGGCAGGACAGGATCTGAGCAACCTGGTCTACCTGTAGATAGCCTTGGTCTTTGCAGAAGTGTTGGACTAGGTGGCCTCTGAAAGTCCTTCCCAACTCAAACAATTCTACGATTCTATGAAGGAACATGAATATAATTCCTTTATATTTCTGATGAAAAGGAAGAGTCACTAGTGTAACCAGTACCAGATATGGGATTTTCATCCCATGAATATAGTCCTGCAAAGGACATTTCAAATACCATCAAACTGGTGTTATTTTTATGAGTGTGTTTATTACCACTGATTTCAAAGGAAGTAAACATATTTCTGATTATTTGGATTACTGCGATGGTAAAGGATGAAAGATGATTCATCAGGCAAATATCAATTTTATTTCTCCTCTAATACTTTTCTGGAGGTCCGTATCGGCTGAGGAAGTTCTTTTCATATGTTTGTTAACTGTCACATGAACATCCTTGGTCTTCCCATATGATTATGTAAACTTTTACGTTCTGCAACGACCTGTGTCAGGGAGTTTCATAGCTCTGATACTTCTTGCATGAACAAACATCCCCTGCTTCTTTCAACCTGGCTGTGCCTGATGCTTGCACCAGTAGCTCTGTGTACTTTGATGTGATACATACCTGCAATTTCTCCGGCATAGGCAGGAACCCACTTCTCACTGCATTGATCAGGTGGCAGAGGGGAGAGATCCCAATTGTTGGTATATAATTTTATGAGTAAGCTGCTATAACTTTTTAAGTCATCTCCTCATGCTGGATTGCTTCTTAAATGCATTTTTGCCATCTTCATAGCCTAGCAACACTCCCTAGAAACCATTATCTCATAATCTGCATTTCTCTAAGGGGGTGTTTTTTATGTCGCCCCTGCTTTTTCCTGCTCTGTGGCAGTAGCCTTTCTTCTTACGATGTGGTGACCGACTTTCCATCTTCTATTCTGGGTTAAAGTTTAAATCATGTCTCATACAGGATAATAATAACTTGTCCTTTTGCTCATGCATACTTTTTTATATATACTATCTGGGGTTTCAATAATTTTCCCCCAGACACACAAAAAAAGCATTTTTACTCATTGTTCTGTATGATTGTTCCATTTAGCACATTGTTTCCCAGTCTCACTGTTTCTATTTAATCTGGAAAGAGATAAAATAGAACACAGCCCTGTGGTTTGTGTCTTGAAGAAAGGGAGGCACAAAAAGTGGAATAAGATAAGCTGTTTTAGCTAACGGCAGAAGAATGTTAACTGTTCAAAGCAGATAAATTCAAAGACAAGCAGAGGCATGTCTGCTTTTATCTGTCAGTGTGGAAAAGCTGCCAGCGGGCTGCTTCTTATTTGGCAGACAAAAAAATATGAATTGTCAAATGCCTCTGGTTGCTGTTTAGGATTCTGTGGGCTGAATCATGATGCACAGTACTTCTTCAAGGGGCCTCTTCCTGGTCAGGCAGAAGATGCAGTGGAAATGTAACATAGCTGAGGGAGGGAGGATGGATATGACAATTTCCATGCAATCATTGTACCAGCTTTGCTTTTAATGTCTGATCTCAGTTAGCCTGGGGGGATGTGACAAAACTGTGTATAAGGGAATGCCAGTGTAGAAAGGATTTAGTAACTTTGTTTTCCTTTTTTCCTGGGGGTGTGAATATATACACAAATACACCAAAGGGCTGCTGCCCTAGAAATTACAATTGCGAAATTAAGAGCTTCTCAAAGACCTTCTGTCATCAGAGTAGAGAACCCACTGCAATAGGATGTCCCTGAGACCAGTAATTTAGCACAAAGAGTGTTTAGACACTTACAGAAAGAACAGTGAGTTCATGATAGTTCCTAATAGCAACAGCAGTTTCTGGAAGCCAGTAGGGATCAGTTTGAGCCTACCCATGTATAAACCACGGCAAATTACCCACTTATTTTCTTCTACAGTCTTCTTGGAAAGTAAAAAAGTGAAACACAAGATTAGCTGGGGCTCAGCTATCATCCTATGTAGAAGTTTTTCCCGTTTCTGCACTTTTCTGCAGCTCAAATTATGTGAGCTGAAAGGCTTAGTCCTTGGTGTTACTTATAGTGCATTGCAGGTATGTCTGAGATAGGCTTGAAGCTGCAAGCTGCACATCCACACCACTAGGACACTACTGGCAGCAGTCCTCTCTTCTGAGGCTGGGTAAGTGTCTAGTAACTGAGCTAGGTGTTACCTGCTGTTATGACTGACTAGATCATTAAGGTCTGCACAGTAGTATCTATATTTTGGATTTACCTAAATCAAACATAGTTTTAAATCCAAGCATAGAGATGGCCAGAAGGCCATGCAGCAGGAGCTGGAAACCTTCTGAGCTGAGGGAAGGTTGGCTGACAGATGGACTGGAGGAAGTGAGTGGGCCTGGGATTATGATAAAGGAAATTAGAAAGGAGAGAGTAGCAGCTCTTCACTCTTTCCAACTGCACAGTGGGATAAGCACTAGTAAGCAGCTTAGTAAAATGAGATACCTTTTTAGGAGAGAGCAGCCCCTCTTCTTCTGGACACATTGCATTGTTCTGAACAAATGAAAGCCGCAGACTGGAGAGCATTTGCTAGTGTAGAAACTTAAGGAAGGGCTCTGATGCCATATCCTTTCTGTCCTGGAAAAAACTGCCTATGTATTGCAAAGACCTGAGGCAGGGTCTTTGCTTTTCTCATTCTGCCCTTGGTCCGACTCCATGTAACAGCCTTAATTAATTTGCCAAAAAATGTATTAGAGCAGAAGTGTCATGTTGTCAGTAACGCTCTGCAGCAAGCTGCTTCCGTTGCTCTCAGCAAGGCAAGGGATGACAAGTTTGCTATCTTTCCCAGTGGCATCTGCTCACTGCTGAGTTTTTCTGCAAAGTTGGCCACTTTACTTGGATGCCTTTGAGAATGCTGTTGGGGACAGAGCTTTGGGAAAAAAGGTCTGATCAATCTAATTAAGATTATTTAAGATAAAGCAAAAGTTCTCTTTTTACTTTTCTTTACTGATTGAATATTTTAGATTCTATAATTTATGTGCCTAATGTGTTTCTGAAGGATGAACAGCTGAAATCCCATGAAGCTAAGCTGAAGCAGATCTCCACTGAACTTGCTGAACATCGCTCCTATCCTCCTGACAAGAAGCTCAAAGGCAAGGAAGTAGATGATTACAAACTGAAGGACCACTATCTGGAATTTGAGGTATGTATGGGAAACTTTATTGCTTTTACTTTTTGTGTATGGATGAGGCTGGTTTCATACTTCTAATATAATCCTGTAGTTCTTCAATTTTCACCTTATTCCAGTAAGGACGATTTCTTTCTCAACAAAAAAGTCACAGTGGTCCCAGAAGTCTAGATATGGGTCCTCCTTTTGATAAAGACTTCCTGTGACCTTGGCTGTGGGCTTAGCTCCTTATCTGTAAAATGGAAAAACGTGACCCTCTTTGCCTCTTTTTATCTTTTTGAAAACATGACAAGCTTTTTAAGCAGGAGCTGTCTCGTGTTGCAAAGCCATGTGTTGTCCAGAGTGATGGAACTTTACTATAGCACTGCATTGATGTCATTGCACATGGTGAGTTTGAGATGTTTTGTTCAAGGCGTGTGGCTGGCCAATTTGCTTTTCTACATTCCACATATCTGAAATGATCTGACCAACAGTCAAATGAGGAAGTGGCTGATAAGCAAAGGGTACACAGTGATGTGAACAAGAGAGGCTTCATAATCAATAAAAGAGAACTAAAGCAGAGTCATCTCACATATAGCACATAATTAAAGAAGTGCTCATAGGACAACATTATAAGGAAAGCTTTCATACCCTTCTTGGGCAAGCAGAAGGAATTAGACGTCTGTGCTGTTGCAGGGCTACAATCTCATTGAGACTGGAGAGATTCAATAGGGTAGTTTGGACAACAGAATGCTGCCATGAATGGATACAGGCTTTTTAGGAAGGACAGGCACAGTGAAAATATCTTGTATGTGATTTTGCTGCTCACTCACACAAAGCTTTGCTGAGAGCTCGTGGATCAGTATTAGCATGTGGAGCAAGACAGGTGGCATTGTATTGCCTGTCTGATAGGGCACTTTCAAAGATCTGCAAGAAGAGTTGTGCTTGCAGGCCCTGGTCTTCCTGCAGAATTTTGACCACCTTATTATCCACTTAAGAGACAGCACAGCAGGGCACAAGCAATCCAGGAGGTTTCTGGAGTGCATCAGCAACAACTTCCTAATGAAGTGATCAAGCAGCAGTCAAGGAGAGACACTTCTCTGGACCTTTTGTCTGAACAAAAAAGAACTCAGGCACATGAACTCTGGGGACAACCGTGGCAGCAAGTTACTATGAGATGTGGACTTCATGATCCTGGAAGGAGAAGTTAAAGAATAAAATCACAACTGTGAGCTTCAGATCTGTTCAGTGAACTGCTTGAAAGAATCCTATGGGATACAGCCCTCAGGGGGAGAGTGCTCCAGGAGAGCTGGTTAGTTTTTAAGTATCACCTCTTCCAAGCTGAGGAATGTTCTGCACTAACAAGCAAGAAACCAAACAAAGGTAGCAGAGGCCTTTGTGAATGTAGAAGCTGCTCCTGAAAATGAAGTACGTGGAGGTGGAAGCTGTAGAAAGTAACAGTGGGAACTTAGAGATACTGTTCAAATATCAAGTTTGTGTTGCTGGTTTTAAGGAAGCCAAAACCTATGAGAAGTTGAATTTGGCAAAATGTAGTAAGGTCAAGAAGAAAGGTTTCTATAGGCACCTTAGCAGCAGAACAGCCAGGGAACGTATGGGTCCTAGTTGGAGCTTATAATGGAACAGCAGACTTGGTCACAGTGGACAGAGAAAGGTCAAAGTAGTCAATATCTTCTTTGTCTAGATCTCTATTGGTAAGACCAACCTTCACCCATTGCAAGCCCCTGAGCCTAGTGAATAAATCTGGAGCAAGAAGCCCAGTGAGTAAATCTGGAGCAAGGCAGATTTATGTACTTAGGAAATTATATAAATTGGACACAAGTCTGTGGAATCTGATGAGATTCACCCAAGAGTGGAGTTCTCAGGGAGGTGAATGATGTAAATGGGAGGCCATTCTCAATTACCACTGAAAAATCATGGTGACTAGGAGAGGCTCCTGAGGACTGGAGGAAAGTTGATGTCATTCCTATTTCAAGAAGAGCAAGAAGGCCCAAAAGACTACGGGCTGGCCAGATTCTTCTCTATCCAGGAGAGACTGGTAAAGTAAATTCTCCAGGATACCCCTTCCAAAAAGACTGAAGACAAGAAAGTGACTGGGTGTAATCAGTTTTTGTTTATGAAGGAGAAATCATGCCTGATCACCATCATGTGAAGAGAGAACAGTGGAAATGGTTTATCCTGACTTTAACATAGATGTTGTTGTTACCTTCTTTCATATCCTTAGATAATCTGATAATGAGTATTCTGGGAAAGTGGGCAGTGAGGTGGCTTGGAAGTTGATGGTCAAACAGTTATGATCGGTGTTGAACACATCAGTCAGTTGTGCACAGTCAGGCCACACACTTCTCCTCCATGGGGGTGTTTTGCAACTTTCTTTTTGCAAAAGAAAAGTGAGCTATCTGAACATGCAGAATGGGAGCTTTCCACCAGTTTTGTAATTTCCTCACCTTCCCTTCAGAACAGAGTGCTGTCAATGTCGTGCAAGGAACTGGTAGCAGACCTTGCTGCATGAGGTCCCTGCAAAAGGGCAAGAGGCAGGTGAGGAGGTATTTTATAGTCGTCTCTTTCAGGCAGAGCCTGCTGGCTGACTACACCACTGATCTGTGTACAAAGGGCCAGGCTGATACATCCCCAGAAGAATTGCAGAAAGGACCTCTTAGTTCCCAAGGAAGCAACATAGTCCCATTAGGGAGGAAGAAGCCAAATTTATTTTCTTCAGGTCCTTGTAATTTTTCCTCAACTGCCTCAGTTTCCGTCATTCTTATTCCTGATGTAGCTCCTGATATGGGGTTTCCCTGTGAGTTGATGCGACCAAGGAGTTGACTGTTCCTTGTTCAGGGATGTGCCTTCAGGGATTTCTCCCTACCTGGTGTCTTTGCTTCTTGAAACCAAGCAACGACCATTTTCTCTTTTCTTGTTGACTGAAGAAGTACTACTCCAGATTATGATTGTTCAGTATGGCAAATATACGAGCAAGAAATCTTCTGAGTGCTGTTAGGTGAGAGGTGAAACTAGGAGTTTGATGGATGGCTGCCTTATCTCTTCTTTACATGCATTCAGGCTGCAGAGATAACTACTTTTAATTTTTGTGCCATATTTCCTTGACAGAATTTTCTAGATTTTTTTTTTTTTTTAAGGAAATTTCCACCAAATTGAATACTTAGCTTCAAATGTCAGAACATTAATAGAGCAAGTTTGGAGATGAAATCTAATGAGAAGCTTCCAGATGCATTGCTTAATTGATATAGAAATGGCAAACACACACTATCCAGCACAAAATGGCCACTGATGAAAGTGCAAGGCAGAAACTAGTCCTTGTCCCCTAGTGTTGTTTAGTGCACCAACAAAAAGCAGAATTCCATATGGTGGTAATGTCTCCCTCACCCTTGATGAATATTATACTGATACTAGCCTTAGAGCACTTTATTGGCTTCTTTTTTTGCACCGATGTCCCATGTATTTCACGATGAATCATCCATCAGCCCAGTGCATTGTCTGAATTCTGCTTGCTGTTTCTACATTTCCTTTTATATTGTATGACACATCTTATCTGCTTAATGTGTTTGTCTTTTGCATTGTGGAGCTGGAGCTCCAAATATGGAATTTATAAGAATGCCTTTTCTTAATTTACTTTTTAGGTATATTCTGCCTATTAGGTCTTGTTTACTCAGAGGGCTTTCTGGAAACACTGTCACATTCTCTCATGTTTTGTTCTTTATTATTCTGCTCTTCACAGTAGTTATCAAGCTTTTAGTCTTTCTGCCCTCAAACAAGTATTATTACCTGAACTTTTATTATGAATTAGAAGAATTTTCACTAAATGCTTTTTCCTTTGTCAGGAACATAACAATTTGGCAACTGTTTTCAATGAAAATGCTTACACCCTCCTTCTCTGGCCCACAGCCCACTGAGGTCACCTTGATTACAATGCTTGCTTACAACCTTAGTGGTTTTATCAGGGTCAGGCTGTTGAACAAATGCCAAAAAATGGGTTGATCAGTTCTTAGCACCTTCTGCCACAGCTAATGTGTTAGAGGCCTTGCAGTGACCTTTCCTTAATCTACCTTCTTTTTGTTGGTTGCCAAGGTGTTCTGTGCAGAAAGATGTTGTCACAACAGAACAAAAGCTTCACTTCAGATGAGAATCCAGAGCAAGCAGGAATGGTTCGTGATAAAGCGAACCTCTTCCATACAAAAAATGCAAGTGTTTGGACAGAGAGCAGCTTTTATTGTTCTTGTGAGTTGTCCTGTCTGGGGAATGTGCCCTGCTGCTCTCTCATCTACTCCTTCTTAAAGTGTGACATCTTCTCAAGGGCTCAAAGGTAGCCAAACTGGTAGAGTCTGAGCTTAGATGGGCTTGGTTTTGATTTCTGCCCCTTGGGCTAAAGCCAGAAAAGCAGGACCCACTGATGGGAATGGAGGGTTGCAAGGGACAGCTGTAGCCGTACAGGTAAGGATTTTTGTTGTCCCTTAGTTCATTTTGCCACACACTATATCCATTTATTTCAAGCTTACGACCCATTACAAGTGGTGTCCCCCAAGGGTCGGTACTGGGGCCCATCTTGTTTAATATCTTAATTGATGATAGTTGAAGGGATGAGTGTAGATGAAGGGATTGAGTGTACCCTCAGCAAGTTTGCAGATGGCACCAAGTTGGGAGATAGTGTTGATCTGCCTGAGGGTAAGGAGGCCCTTCAGAGGGATCTAGATAAGCTGGATCGCTGGGCTCAGGTGAACGAGATGAGGTTCAAAAAGGCCAAGTGCCCAGTCCTGCACTTCGGCCACAACAACCCCATGCAGCACTACAGACTTGGGGATGAGTGGCTGGATGATTGTGAAGAGAAAATGGACCTGGGGGTGTTGGTTGATGCTCGATTGAACATGAGCCAACAGTGTGCTCAGGGGGCCAAGAGGGCCAACAGCATCCTGGCCTGCATTAGAAATGGTGTGGCCAGCAGGAGCAGGGAGGTGATCATCCCCTGTACTCAGCACTGGTGAGGCTGCACCTTGAGTACTGTGTTCAGCTTTGGGTCCCTCACTACAAGAAAGACATTGAGGCCCTGGAGCGTGTCCAGAGAAGGGCAATGAAACTGGTGAGGGGTCTGGAGCACAAGTCTTATGAGGAGCGGCTGAGGGAGCTGGGAATGTTCAGTCTGGAGAAGAGGAGGCTCAGGGGAGACCTCACTGCACTCTACAACCTCCTGAAGGGAGGCTGTGATGAGGAGGGATTTGGCCTTTTGTCCCAGGCAACAAACAGGATCCGAGGAAATGGCCTCAAGTTGTACCAGAGGAGGTTTAGGTTAGACATAAGGAAGAACTGTTTCTCTCAGAGAGTGGTCAGGCACTGGAATGGCTGCCCAGGGAGGTGGTGGAGTTGCTGTCCTGGCAATGTTCAAGAGGCGCCTGGATGAGGAGCTGCAAGATATGGCTTAGTGCTTGTGGTAGCAGTGGTAATGAAAAGATGGTTGGACTTAGGTGATCTTGTAGGTCGTTTCCAATCTTGTGATTCTATGATCCTATGTTTTCTGTGAGCACACAGTGTCTCAGTATATATGAGGTGACTCCATGTGGCTAAGGTCAGAAAGCTCCTTCTTGGTGTTGTTACTCAGAAATAACCACGCATTCTAGCTAGCTGAGAGCCACCATTCAGATTGGAATTTGTACGCTGCAGAACTGAGTGTTTTAAATTGCACAGCATTTCCTTGAGCACAGCCTGACCGAAATCCTTTTTGCACAGTGCAATTTACATTAGTCACCATTGTTCAAATCCATATTAGACTCCTTACTTTCAACATCACTTGAAACTTGAAGCTATTACGTCATCTAGATAATCTTTCAAATGTTTCTGCAGAATTTGTCGTAGACTGATTCAGCCCTTTCTTTTCATTTCCCAGAAAAATCGCTATGAGATTTATATTGGCCTCCTGAAAGAAGGGGTGAAGGAGCTGCTGAGTGGAGGAGAGAACGATGCGTCAGGACTGAAGAAATCCCACTCGAGTACGTCGCTCAATCAGGAGTCTCCAGTTAGTGCCAAGGTGAAACGCAATGTCTCAGAGAGGAAGGACTACAGGCCAGAAACACCCAGCATTAAGCAGAAGGTCACTTAGGGTGGAAATGACAACTAGGGGAACAGCCATGCAGCAAAGTACCGGTGGTCAAATTTTTTCCGGCTCAAAATCTGTCATACATAAAAATAAGTGCATCTGCCTGAATGGGGTGTTAGTGACATTTTCTATTGTATATTTTGCTGTTTCTGTGCAGATTGTGGGAGATGTCTTTGCTCCTGCTTTGCTTTGCTCTGTTATTTTATCATTTAGCAATTGAAGCATTGGGACTTTTTTGTGTTCTGTTACTAAAGGAGCTGGGGGAAGGGTAGAGCGCTGTCACGTATATTCTGTCTCTTCCCCATTTATCTCCTCCCATCGGCATGTGGCTTTCATCTCTCAAGTCACTTGTCACTTTATTTACATGGTGGGTGGGAAAAATAACTGGACAAATGCTGCAGCATTGTGAATATGAGCGGTAGCTGTGAGAAATTTGTACGAACAGGCAGCTGCAGAAGGCTGGATAGAGTCTAGAACAATGGGAACAGTGGTTTCCTGACAATGCAGAGCACGTTGGTACTGGTAATTAGCAATGGGTGCTGTAGTAAATAGCCACTCTTGCTTTTTGTTATTGAATTGACCCTGGACTCAAGAACGCAAAGGACTGCAACCTGGCAATCTCTTGCAATGCTGGGATGACAGCATTGGAATCACTTGTTTGCTTCTTTCCAAGCAAAAAGTCTTCTCCTGAGTTAGCAGGGTGGAACGTGTCCAAACCTGTGCTGTCTCTGTGGTCAGGGCGATGAGGAATTACCAAGTTGGAATGAGCCACTGGGTTGCATATGTGTTCTAAAGACAAACGGCCTCTGTGTAGTTTTTAACTATACACTCTCACTTAGCTGCTATATAGAGCCTTATGATACATTGCCTCCTGATGCTCCACTTTCCAGGAGTTTTCTTGTTGGTACGTGCAGATGCATGCAATTTCTCTGATAGTTACAGAGTACTTTGCTTTTTCTCTTCAGGAAACGATTGTCCCCACCTGCTCATTTTTCTGCTTTAGCTGATATGCAGGTGGAAGAGGCTAGGGCCTACTGGAGAATGGCACTGACCTTTTCTCACTCGGAGCCAGGATTTGATGCAATCCTGGTTACTCTGTGCTGGAGGCTGGCACAAGGCAGCCTGACTGACACATCCTACCCTTCACCTGCCAGTTGCCAGCTCACCTTGCAGTTCCAGCACATCCTGCTTCAGACTTTTGGAAGAAAGTAGAGGGTGGGGAGAGGCTGCCATGGGTAGAGCTTTCCATACTTCCAGACCCTGTTTGCCCCACAGATCCTTGCAGTATTTGGCAGTCTTGAGTGCAGAAATGTTGCACAAATCATTTGTCTGCTTCCCAGTGCCTCTTGCCTTATGGAAGCAAGAGCATTGGCTTGCCTGGTACTGTACAGTCTCAGTTTTAATCTCTGATGTGATACTGTCTTGCTGGGTGAGCTCAGACAAGTCTCTCCCTTTTCACCTTACCCTTGCCACATACAGAATAGTGTAACCATTCTGGCCCTTTTCACAGAGCATCCTGAGAGGCAAGGTTGAGGCCAGCTGAGAAATGTTGATTGCTAGTATTTTTGTTATACCTGGCACAGGGCAGCTGTCCTGATGGATGTGTAACATATAGAGAAACGTCAAGATCAATACAAGGACTATTTAGAAATGTGATGGTATTTAAAGCCCAAATAATGTAGGGTCACACATCAAGAAAAATCACTGTCTGATTGGATGTGCACTCTGCCAGACTTCCCAAAGTGCCCACGTCAATTAGTCTAGTTTGTTGAATTGCTGGTTCCATGGACAGACAAGGGAGCAATCAAAGATAGGAGAACCTTTAACAGGTGCCATTTGACTTGCCTCCCCCACTGAGAACCACCATGCTTTCCCAGTGTGCTCACTGTTGGCTGTAACCAAGATGACACGCTCTCAGATCGTCAGTCCCTGCAGTTGCAGCCTGGCAGCGAAACCAGATGGGACTGATGCCATGTGTGATGTTGCATTTGCATGACACACGTGATGTGCACATTTGGAGTTTGCCACAGAGTGTGGTTGCTTCGTCCAAGGAATCGGCAGGTCAGCTCCTAGCCCTGGCAATGTCTGTAAATACTGCAGTCCTGAATAGAAACTGTCAGCGCTTGTTTAGTGCTATAGCTATAGAAGTTCTGTGTGATTATTGTGGAGCATGTGTTCAGTCCTATTACTCAAGAAAGATGCTTTCTTTCACTGGAGCCAGAGGGACAGAGTGCAGCGTACTGCACTGGGAGACTCACTGTGTGATAGTGCTTATTGCAGGGGATTGTTTGAATTAATCGTATCTGGGAGGTAAAGAGCTCCAGGGGGGGTGGAAACAAAACCAGGAGGAGATCCCTGCAGCTGTTTGTCATACTCTGGTGGTTTAAAACAAACAGTGGAGAGGGAGGTTATGCTGAGATGGAAGAAAGACATATTGTTGATGCTGAATGCATATTTGAGAAGAAAACTTGCCCAGCTGTAGATAGTGGCATTTCATAGAAAGTGTGCAACAGAAATAGAAAAAGGGCTCAGGTTTGTAAATGGGCCCTGCTTGACTTTCAGAGCGGAGTCGTCTGTGTGAGCTTTTCTAATGCAGCCTGGAATATGCACAACAAACCTCTTGTGAATACAGAGTACATAGCCTTAAAAGGTGAAGAGGCAACATTTAAATTTTTTTCTCAGCTTTTAAGATGTTCTGGATGCTGTAGGCTGCAGTTAAATTGCTGAGCTCAAAAAGAAATGATTCCCGTAAAATGCATTTCCGAGCTTTGACAGAGAAACTGCTTAATTCCTTTTCAAAGTTGTTGCAAAGGAGATGATTTGAAGTAACAAGAAAGTCAAGAAGTAAACTGCAAAATTTTTTTTTTTTCAGTTTTTATTATTTATTCTCCATTTCCAGGTACACTTGCAAATGGATTAGGGTGTAAGCGTTAAGTCTCATCTGTGCTTAGTAAATGCAGTTTTTCACTATATTTTTTAGTGATTAAAAATCTGTTCGAGCTTGGAGCACTCTTGGTGAGATTGTTGAGGCGTGCAGATTAGTTTACTGAGAATTTGTCAGGTTCTGCTTCAGTTTTAATTAATGTCATTTTGCTCCATTGCTTTACAAATTCTAGGCATCCCAGGCAGCCAAGTGAAAATGCACATTTCAGAGGCCAAGAGAAAAAGGAGATGCTGTCGTGAAAGCCTCCTGGACTCCCTTAGGAACAGGACCATCTACTAAGCAGTACTGTCAGTTGCTTGCTTTTTTTTTTCCCCAGTGCTACTGTAGAGGATGGACACATGCTCTCAGGGGGCATCAGTGGTGCATGTTGTTGGGTGATACCACGGGGAGCCTGACTGGATGGCTTTGCATGGTATCAGTACTGGCCTCTCTTTGTTGAATGTTTGACCTCCGTGACTCAGGAACTCTGTTGTAATGTGCAAGAGTATACTGCTGAGTTCCAACATTCCCCTGCATGCCTGGCTGTCCCCACCTGATCTCAGTATGAATTTCTGGGGATGTTCAGTGTGAGCTGGAGTTAAATGGGGCTTGTTTTGGGCCCTGTTTAGCACAGGTGGAGCTGTGTCTAGATGCTCAATGTTAAGACATTGCAGCACTGGCTCCTTCAGCTGCAACTGACAGACCACCACCAGTGTGTGCAAGTGTACAGCCCCTAAGGCAGCCTTTGCGTTGGTGCCTGCAGGGAGGCATCGTTCTTCCTTGCCATCCATCCTCCCTGCTGCAGCATGCCGCCTGGAAACCGTCGCTCAGGCAAAGCCTCTGCCCACGTCTTGAGAGGGGGATGTGGAGAAGGGAGCAGGATTGGGCCAGCATCCTTCTCTGAAGCACTGCTGGCTGCTCACGTATGTGGGTTCCTCTCCTGGCTGACGAAGGAGAGGCAGGAAGGTTTGGACTGTGTCCGGACATGACAGGAGAGAGGGGAGGGAGGGAAGACATTTTTGTGCTTCTCCCTCCTCTCCTGCAACCAAAGGTGAGATACTCCCCCAAAGCCAAAATTGTGCTCTCCTTTGTAAGGCAGCAGGATGCTGAGGTTTTTGTCAGCAGTGATGTGAAAGAAAATCTCTGGGCTGGCTTGTATGCATCTTGCAGATAAATCACACATGGACCAGTGAACATGACTGCAGCTTTTTAATCCAGTATTTATGTTGTGTCTTTAATTGATGTAGAGAGATAAGTCAGCCAGCAGGGTGATTAATGTAGCAGAGCTGTGGGGGAACACTGTTCAGCTGTGACGCCAACTCAGACACTTTTTCATCTACAGCCAGCCACTTGTAAATGGTTACCAGAAGCTTTCTAAGAGCTGTAACAGCTCATCCCTTAAGTGCTTTCTCCTTGATCCTGCCCACTCCAAGGGTGCTGCCTGTCCAAGTTTACAGCTCTTCTGGAGCTCAATGTGCAGCAGAGTGCTGCTTTGAGCAGGAATTTGAGCTAGCTAGCCTCCAGAGGCCCCTCATGACCTGGATCATATGGTGCATTCCTGTATTGAGGCTGGTTGTCCATCTGGCTTGAAACAACCAAACTTTTGGCTCACTCCAATGGGACTGGACACCCAGTTGATGAGAGTAGTCACTTTGGTGAGTAGGTGTCTGGGGCAGTGGAGAAAGTCAGTTGCAGCAGGGTTATCATTGCATTTCTGCAGTGTGCTTCTCAAAAGTGGGTAAGGCTTTTTTTTGCAGACAACTTGTAGCTTACAGTGTCTGCATTTTCCATTGCTAAATCAATTTTGGCCTTATCACAGTTAGTCTGACAGCTCCTCCTCCTTTTCTGTCAAGCTGCTCCTGTCTGTCATCTTAGCACCTCAGCTGCTTCTGTGTAACAGGTCTCTTCCCTTCCATGCTTGCAGAAATGTGGAAAATTTGAGTGTCCCATCTTGCCTGGAGAAAACCTGCTCTGAAGCAGTGCTGCATCGAATAGATAACCCTTTCCC